AAGACGACAATAAGGACGACAGAATAAGATGACAGTTAGGATGACAGAACAAGATGACAGAACAAGACGACAATAAGGACGACAGTAATTAAATGACAGAGAAAAAGCAGGCAGGATAACAGATTAAGACGACGTCAACAGACAACATACACGCCTACATATACTGATTTACCTGAACAAGTAGGCAATGACTGTAGACAAAGACAAATGTATAGTACAAAACACAAAGCAGTCGTTTTTGACACAAATGGAACCTCATACTAAACTAGACTGACCAAATTTAGTCCAGAAATGGATTTGTTACTGCATCTTTATTTCCAGCCACCAGAGGGAGGAAGAGCACCAAGGCATGTAGGATATCTCCCAGTATTGTTGCTCTACTGAGAGAGAGTGCTGTACACTTAACAAAGTTACACAAATCTGCATAATGTAATTGGTCACTTAGATGAATACGATCATGCATTTTACATTAATGTGTAACAGTAAGAACAATAATTGATCAATAACATGAACAGATTGTGGTTATATTGTAGAAATACTATCAGGATCACTAAAATTACACTCCCTAAATGCCATGTTTTGCAAGTTGTTGCATATAATGGGAAAATATTGTTTGTACTGTGGAATATGTTTCTGACACAGTCATCTTTGTATTTGTACATGGATGGATGTAGTTCTAGTTATTAGGTGACTCCACATCAATTCATATAAACATTCAGCTCTTCTCTAAAAGACCAAGATATCTAGTCAGCTGGTCAAACATCACTTTACTGCCTTGAAGCAGTTCTTTCTGAGTTGTTAGAATTGGAATGTGACTAAATGTCACATGTAGAGAGCTACTGCAAAGTAGGACACTACACCACACACACACACACACACACACACACACACACACACACACACACAGAGATTTACACCTACACACATGAACACGCATTCCCTAGAGTCTGCCTGCCAAAGAGCTCTCCCTCATGACTTGAGTATTTCATTAGTGAGATAAAACAGGGCTGAGCCCACTGAGGTTGCCAGTTTCACTGATGAGGAAAAGAGAAGCAGGGGAATCAGAAAGAAAGAGAGAGAGACAGAGAGGGGGCTGTGATAAACTCTGCTGCGAGCCCTCCTGTAAGCAGAGTGAGAGAGTGCAGGAGCAACAGCATAAGATCTGGAGAGGGTGAAAACACAACTGTGAGCAAGACCTACCACAAAGTCCACACAGATCTCGCACTTTGAGGTGAGCGTGCATGTGTTTTTGTCACCCTGCAGAACTGGGCTGATGCATTTAGGTGCGATCGTCCCGTCAAGTGCTTCTCTGCTTTGAAGTTGGCCGTGGGGGACCGGTTTTTTCCCTGCAAGGAAAAAAAGGCAAGAGAAGGCCAAAAGCTACAAAAACTGGAGTGTTTCCAACTTCCAATTCCCTCAGGACATTTTTCCCCCACCTCGGCTTCAAGAAGGAAGCACATGTGAAGACTGATGGGGCAAGACCTCAGCATTGCTTACCAGAAAATCGGGTCAGATGCATCACTGCAGAGACTCCACATCCCAGTAGGAGTGAGACAGAGGTAAAGAACCAGAGAGAAAGTGAGAGGGAATCTGAGTAATTTCCATCCACTCCCCCCCCCCTTTCCACACTGGGACCTTCTTCAGTTGCCCTCTGCTACCCCCCCATGGGGCAGGAAGCGTGAAAAATCTCACTAATGGGTTTATTTGCTGTCAGCTCTGCGACGACCTGTCATTTCCCAGGACCACTCTACACTTGACACATTTCATAGTCGAGTAAGCTTTGCTTTGTTTTTGCCTAAAGAGCCCTTGCTTCACACTGCTGGCAGTTGAGAAGATCAAGACCAGGCTGAGGTATCAGGTGGAGTGGACAAGTCTGTTAATCACTTTGCCTGCCTATTACAGTATTCTTCTCGCTGTTCCTTTGTATTTCTCGAAGTCGAGAACTTCCCGCAGTGAGAAAGAGTCTGCTTTCTGACCCAACTACGGTGTTCTGGCTGGTGGGCTGAAGATGCGTTGCTGGCTGCTAGCTGTGGTGACGGCAGTGCTCTGGAGCCAGTGCATCCTTCTAGGGTGGGCTGAAGGCAGGAAGATGCGTAAGAGGCCGAAGGAGCTTGCTCCGCAGCACACCGAAGCATTCAACACCACTATTTCCAACAGTGAGGAGCTGGATGGCAGCACAAAGGTATATGCCATAATAGTTTCTCATTGCTTTTCTTATATGTTTAAGCTATGCTCATTTCCCAGCTCTGCACATGAAACTGCTTATGATTCCACATCAGAAGTGTTCTATTATTGTTTTATATAAGATCATTTTTAGAAAAAATATTTGAAATTGTCCTTTTAGAGCTACAACAGCTTGTTACTGAGGCAGCATCCTCAAAAGTGCATATTTGTACCTTACCCCTAAAAAGTGTTTATTATTACCTTAAGTACATGTTAGTATCTTAACGTACTAATATGCAGTCAACAGTGTAATTTTTAAGGTACGGCCCATGGGACAAGCTAAAGGTAAAATTTTTGCATATTTTCAGGGTATGTCATATGGCTGCTATTTATTCTGTTTTTGAAGATGGTTGATTTTTGCAACTGGCTTGTTCTCTCATGTGTATTCATTTTACTAACAAACTTCTGATATTGCAGTAATCACTCAATCTCAAGGTTGTGAAAACTCACAGACCGCTGATGCCACTGTTACTATGTTTTACATGTCTTGGGGCTCTATTTTATTGAGAACCTCACCCTAACTAGGTACTAAAATTGCATGAAAAATGATAGAAGACACGATACAACACATTGATTATATACATTACCGTTCAAAAATTTGCGGTCAGTAAGATTTTTTTTTTTTGCTTTAAATTAATCCAATGTGAC